TTCAATAGGAAGGTTTCTAATGACGAGGGAACGGAAGAGAAATGCTCAACAGTCAACCAATGAGAATAACAATTGCAGCCAGGTCAGTAAATTCTCAGCAGAGAAGGATGAGTCGACGATGTTTTGGTCCATCCTGGACCATTAACAAGTCGTGTGTGATGGGAGCGACGGAGGCACAGGCATTAAGGACGATAACGACGACGATCTTCGTCTCCTTATCTTCTGGTGTGTAGTTTGGTCATCAAGAATAAAGTATAGTTTTTGGATGGTCAGCAATATATTTTGGAGGCCTTAATGACCACTTAAGCGGTTGACAGTCTCGAATTCCAACAGTACCAACCCAAACCAAAATTAGTTTCGTAACTATACAGCGATATAGGCAGAAGTTAATACACGTTACTTGAAGGAGAACTATGTTAAAAGGAATTTATTACCACTGATTCATCGAGCAAACTTATAACATCATTGAGAAAGGCCGTTAATATATAACTTAAATGCATGTAACGTGAACCAAAAATAATTCGGGATTATATAATAGCGAGTAAGCACGCTAGCTTATAAAGAAAGTTACTTTTAACTTATATAATAATTCTCACAGCATAGTTTCTTTACCACATGCATATGGATTATGGGCTTTTGCCTCTTGAACGCTATTTCTTTATGTTTGATACTAAACAAGGCAAAATAAAGCATTAGGACGAAAATATAATTGTCTTGAGGCTTAACAGTGATGTGTACTGGCATTCACAGTGTGGGATGAGACACAGAGCGGTACTGTTTCTTATACTTTGTATGCAGGAGCAAACGATATATCCTCTCGTCGTGCTTTGTTTCAGTTTAAAGAGGCTGCGCTTGTCCATCCTGTCTATTCCTCTCAGTACTTTGTATGTTGTGATCATATGCACTCTGGATTCTCTCTCCTCCAAGGTTGTGAGATCCAGTTCCCATAAACTATCCTGATTGTTTAACCTTCTTAATTCTGGCCCTAAGCCTATTACAAATCTGTGTACTTTCTCGAATTTGGTTTTATTACTCCCCAGCGGCGAATTCTATTCAGTACTGCATATTTAGTAATGATTTAACAACAAATGTGTTGAATGTCTTGAAAGAACTCTGAATTAGGTTTCTAAGCGGCGTTCAATTGTTTCCCAGCGTCCCATATGCTGCTGATGTTACCCTGTTTAAGTGTACCTCTGGTGTTAGTGTTGTAGTTACATCCACTTCCAAAGATTTGTCTCCTTTCAATTCGTGTAGTTGCCGTCCCGTGAAGGAATAGATCTCTCCTGGTTTCTTTCTCCCTTTCCTTTTTTCCATTAGTTTACACTTGTTGAGATTGAATTTCAGGAACCATTAGCTTACTGAAATTCCGCTTGTCCACTCGAGGAGTGTCAAGGCGTTCCTCTTACTGTCCACAGGCCGCCTCGGTATTCACATTCTTCATTAACTCTGCGTCGTCTCAAACCACCGTCATGTACGAGTCAGAAGGTAACGGGTGCAGGAGACGGGTGCAGGAGACGGGTGCAGGAGACGGGTGCAGGAGACGGGTGCAGGAGACGGGTGCAGGAGACGGGTGCAGGAGACGGGTGCATGAGACGGGTGCAGGAGACAGGTGCAGGAGACGGGTACAGGAGACGGGTGCAGGAGACGGGTGCAGGAGACAGGTGCAGGAGACGGGTGCAGGAGACGGGTGCAGGAGACGGGTGCAGGAGACGGGTGCAGGAGACGGGGTAGGAGACGGGGCAGGAGACGGTGCAGGAGACAGGTGCAGAAGACAGGTGCAGGAGACGGGTACAGGAGACGGGTACAGGAGACGGGTGCAGGAGACGGATGCAGGAGACAGGTGCAGGAGACGGGTACAGGAGACGGGTGCAGGAGACGGGTGCAGGAGACAGGTGCAGGAGACGGGTGCAGGAGACAGGTGCAGGAGACGGGTACAGGAGACGGGTGCAGGAGACGGGTGCAGGAGACGGGTGCAGGAGACAGGTGCAGGAGACGGGTGCAGGAGACAGGTGCAGGAGACGGGTGCAGGAGACAGGTGCAGGAGACGGGTGCAGGAGACGGGTGCAGGAGACAGGTGCAGGAGACGGGTGCAGAAGCAATGTGACGGGTAGAAGAGTGGGACAAGTGGAGGATGACGAATGTAGAATGAGTGTGACGAGAGAAGAACAAGCGTGACTGGCACAGGAGGAGGACTGGGCTAGGGAGTACCTGTTGGATAGCAAACAAGTCATAAAAAGCGTTGACGATCAGGACGGATATTAAAGGTGTGGTCCTGCCAGGCTCGGTCCCAGGACCACTGCAGCTCCTGATGTCGAGTACCAACTCGAGGGACAGAGCTCATACTTGTCATTGTTTGACGAAACCGCAAAGCACAAGAAGACATGTCATAATCTGAGGAGGACATTTTATTATTATTATTATTATTATTATTATTATTATTATTATTATTATTATTATTTTCTACCACAGTCGTGGCCATACATTTGCAACGCTAACCAGCATATATACATTTTCTACTGTCCTCCATGGACAGGGTGAGAGATCTGTTAAACATATAGTTCAGGGGTTTATTGAACGATCAACCACCGAAGGTGATTGTAGTGCTTTTAAAATGCTAATCTAACCTACATACATAAATACATAGATACACAGAGTTACGTCTGCCCTACATAAAGTGGTCGATGTGTTCTTTACATAGAATCATTAATGTGCATTTACAAAGATGAAATGTAATTCTGATCATCTTCCACATATACTTTATACACATGCATATACATATACATACGCACACGTATACATATACATATATATACATATACATACACACACATACATACACATACATTTATGGCTCTCCTACTCTGAGAATGTAAGATAGCTAATAGAGAAATTAGTGTGTTATTAAACACTTAACCACAGAAGGTGATTAAGGTGCTTTTACAAGCTCAGGTTATATAGTTACATCACATGCATAAATTGTATGTATAGTTGATATATAGTTGATACACTACAAGGTCAATCTTGGGTACAATCCAATATATCATCAAGTGTTTCAGTATTCATATAGTAATTACAGACTTCAGCATACCCAGGAGGGCGAAAGTCAGTCAATATGGGACATTCTACAATATAATGTTCAAGGGAGTGCATGTTCTCTCTTTCACAAAGTTGACACATTGTGTACTCGACATTTGGGTTTTGAGAAAGCTGCCAGATACGTCTATATCCCAGACGTATTCTGGCCACTATAACATCACTTTGCCGAGTTCTTGCTCTGCTAGTCCCATATGTGAATGTCTCCTAACAGTGGTTGTGGACAGTGTAGGAGGGCTTTGATAAACTCCAAAAATGGTATGTAAGAGTTCAAATGCAGGCGATGAGTCACAATAACGTGGCTGAAGTATGTTGACCAGACCACACACTAGAAGTTGAAGGGACGACGACGTTTCGGTCCGTCCTGGACCATTCTCAAGTCGATTGTCATTCTCAAGTCGAAAGTAAGAGTTCAACTCCAAGAAGTGTAAGATAATGAAAGTTGGACAAAGGAAAATTAATTAAATTAATATTTTAACCACAAAGATGAGACAACTACAGGAAGTGGAGAGATTAAAATATATTTCTACATTTACACAGGAGAAAAAAAAATCAACATTAAAATATCGGAAATTAGGAATCATTAAAATACCGTTTAAAAGCTTCTGTTAAAACAATTTTAAGAAACTTTACACATCCTACGTACAGCTAATATTAGAATATGAGGCAAAGGCCTAGAATGAGCGCCTCGTGAAGCAGACAACCAAAAATATTAATGTACAGAGATATGTAACAATATTAGTGACGAAAACAAATAAGATAAACTATAAAATTAAAGGAATTAAATGTTACGAATCAACAAAAGACAAAACAAAAGGCATATTAATCATCACATGTAAGATACAAAAGAGAACAGAGAACGTGATCATAGAGAGCCTCTTTAAATTCCGAGAAAGTTGGTCAAGAGGACATAAGTAGAAGCAGGAAAAGCCAATGAGTCTCAGAACTGTAAGCAATACTCGAAAGGGAATTATCAGGGGGGAAAGCCCCAAGCCATATCAACTATATATCACTGGGAAGGAATCAGGATAAGGATTGGGGATGGGACGAGGGGGGGGGAGAATGGTGCCCAACCACTTGGACGGTCAGGGACTGAACGCCACCCAGCATGAAGCGAGACCGCCGCTCTACTGTCCCAAATTCGACCGTTTATAGTCGAATTTTGGGCCCAACCCAAATTTTGCGGCCCAACACAAGTAGTTGGACCACACTGAAAGGGGAAGCGGTGGAAGCCACCTACAACACTAACGTCTAATTCGACAAAGTATTCAACTAACATGAAATTTAAATTAAAACATATGACATGACTGGTAGGTGTGGCTAAGATGGCTGGCAGGTGTGGCTAAGATGGCTGGCAGGTGTGGCTAAGATGGCTGGCAGGTGTGGCTAAGATGGCTGGCAGGTGTGGCTAAGATGGCTGGCAGGTGTGGCTAAGATGGCTGGTAAGTGTGGCTAAGATAGCTGGTAAGTGTGGCTAAGATGGCTGGTAGGTGTGGCTAAGATGGCTGGTAAGTGTGGCTAAGATGGCTGGTAGGTGTGGCTAAGATGGCTGGTAGGTGCGGCTAAGATGGCTGGTAAGTGTGGCTAAGAGACCAGTAGGCTGGTAGGTGTGGCTAACAGACCAGTAGGCTGGTAGGTGTGGATAACAGACCAGTAGGCTGGTAGGTGTGGATAACAGACCAGTAGGCTGGTAGGTGTGGATAACAGACCAGTAGGCTGGTAGGTGTGGCTAAGAGACCAGTAGGCTGGTAGGTGTGGCTAAGAGACCAGTAGGCTGGTAGGTGTGGCTAACAGACCAGTAGGCTGGTAGGTGTGGCTAAGAGACCAGTAGGCTGGTAGGTGTGGATAACAGACCAGTAGGCTGGTAGGTGTGGCTTAAAGACCGACACCTCACGCTCTCTCCATCACTGTCAGGTAACCAGAGAAGCTGGCAGGCAGACGGGAAGGCTGTAGACAGATAAAGACGGGTAAATGGTGGAGTAAAGGGAGAGAGATAAAGGTTATCTGGACACATGACACAGCAACATGTGTCAGGTTCGGGGAACAACAAGGGAAAGCGGTAACGAGTGGACATAAGACACAAGGGGAATAATGAGAGGTGAAGGCAAGAGGAGAAGATAGTGTAAATAAGATAGCTATTCCTTGGAACAGCGACACGAGAGACTATTCTAACATTCTTTTTTCCTTAGACTTTCTCTCAGTTCACAGAATGGAACCCCCATCTTCACCTTAGACTTTCTCTCAGCTCACGCATCAAGCAACATCACCTTCCCCTTAGACTGTCACACTTCACATTATGTAACATCACTATTACTTCATACTTTCTCTCATGTGAGAGAGAGAGAGAGAGAGAGAGAGAGAGAGAGAGAGAGAGAGAGAGAGAGAGAGAGAGAGAGAGAGAGAGAGAGAGAGAGAGAGAGAGAGAGAGAGAGAGAGAGAGAGAGAGAGAGAGAGAGAGAGAGAGAGAGAGAGAGAGAGAGAGAGAGAGAGAGAGAGAGAGAGAGAGAGACAGACAGACAGACAGACAGACAGTCAGACAGACAGAGAGGCAGACAGACAGACAGACAGACAGACAGACAGACAGACAGACAGACAGACAGACAGACAGACAGACAGACAGACAGACAGACAGACAGACAGACAGACAGACAGACAGACAGACAGACAGCAATTCCTCTAATGGACTTTTCAGTCAAGAGCTTCTCATTTATAAACTGTTTAATCATCATCCGAGCTTGAATCTATCTACACAAAGAAAAATTGAATCTTTCAAAATGTCTGAGAATAGAATTTAATCCCAAGAGACTAGAATATTTTCATGAGCAATGTTGCCAGTATAACAGAATATAAATATATTACTGCTTGCAATGCCAATGTCCAAAAAAAAGTCATAGTGAAATGTCGTACGGAATGTTTTCTGATGTTTAAATCTAACCTGAAGTAGTAACATTAAAAATAAATAATTTTACAATAATTCGTGCAACATGTGCAACAATGTCTGACATTGTTGTTCCCAAGAAGGACTTATGGCCCTTTAAAACAGTACATGTCATTGATGTGGGCTAGCAAGAAGTAATTTATGCTCCGTATCCAAATAGTGCATGGCACTGTTTGTGCACTGTTTGTGCACTGTTTGTGCACTGGAGAGACTTATGTGATGCCGCTCTGGTAAAGAAGAAAGCGACGTACCTTTCATGATAAAAGAGATAAGGCTATTTAACACAAGGGGCACACGCACTAGGGGACACAGGTGGAAACTGAGTGCCCAAATGAGCCACAGAGATATTAGAAAGAACTTTTTTAGTGTCAGAGTGGTTGACAAATGGAATGCATTAGGAAGTGATGTGGTGGAGGCTGACTCCATACACAGTTTCAAGTGTAGATATGATAGAGCCCAATAGGCTCAGGAATCTGTACACCTGTTGATTGACGGTTGAGAGGCGGGACCAAAGAGCCAGAGCTCAACCCCCGCAAACACAACTAGGTGAGTACAACTAGGCGAGTACACACACACACACACACACACACACACACACACACACACACACACACACACACACACACACAGAACTCGGAACCAAGTCTGTACAAGACATGATGGACTATGTCACCCAAAAATGTCAGGATGCTGTAAGCAGGTTTGTCCCAGCCCGACAGGAAAAAACAGAGAAGCAAAGGAAGAATCCGTGGTTTAATAGGGAATGTATGAAAGCAAAGGAGCAGAACAAAAGGGCATGGAGGAACTTCTGTAATAACAGAACACCAGAAAGTAGAGAGAGATACCAGAGAACCAGGAACGAGTATGTTAGTGTGAGAAGAGCAGCAGAGAAAAGGTATGAAAATGACATAGCTAATAAAGCCAAGACCGAACCAAAGCTACTACACAGTCACATCAGGAGGAAGACAACAGTGAAGGAACAGGTGATGAAACTTAGGGTGGGCGAGGACAGGTACACAGAGAATGACAAAGAGGTGTGTGAAGAACTCAACAAAAGGTTCCAGGAGGTCTTTACAATAGAACAGGGAGAGGTCGCGGCGCTAGAAGAGGTGGCAGCAAACCAGGTGACCTTGGATAGGTTCGAAATTACAAGAGATGAGGTCAAGAAGCACCTATT